ATATGTGATGAGAAAATGTTCTGCTCTGGTACAGCCCTCAGATTACTATCCGTTATTGATTTTTCATGTAGACAGTGACAACGTTACAGTAAGCAGTGCAAGGACGGTCAAGAGAGACTTCAGGGCCTTGGGACAACTGGTTAAGGGATCAGGAGCACAAGCAGTGTGCTCCTCTATCCTCGAGTTGCAGGGAATGATGAGGGAAGAAACAGGAAGAGCCATGAGATCAATACCTAGCTCCGTGATTGTGTCATTGGCAGAATTTGTTTTTTTTTTAATGATGGGTCAATCTATATGAAACCAGGCCTGCTGGTGACAGGCAAGCTACACCTGTCTCAAAGGAGGAAAAGGATCTTTGTGCAAGAGTTAGCAGGGCTTATTGAAAGAGCTTTAAACTAGATTTGAAAGGGGAAAGAGGTAAAACCAGGCTCGCTAAAGATAAGCCTGGGGGCAGCACACCAATGTTTGAGGGATGGTGTGCTAGCAAGGTCCTTCAGTATGTTCCATGATGTGCTGAGTACGCTGGAGCACATCTGAAATGTCCTGTGCAACACCTCAGCCATCTCAGTGGAGGCAGGGGATGGAAATCCACGTGGCAGCAAAGACGCAAGGGTTGTTGTTGTGTTGGAAACCATGGAAGCACCTGAGAACAGTCCCACAGGAATTAGGTCTTCTCCCAGAAAAAGATGGCAGGATCAATAGCCCAGCTGAAGTGTATCTACACCAATGCACGCAGCATGGGCAACAAACAGGAGGAGTTGGAAGCCATTGTACAGCTGGAAAACTATGATCTAGTTGCAATCATAGAAGCATGGTGGGATGACTCACACAACTGGAGTGCTGCAATGGATGGCTATAAACTCTTCAGAAGGGATAGGCAAGGAATGAGGGGCAGTGGCGTATGTTAGGGAGTGTTTTGACTGTCTAGAGCTTGACGATAGTGATGAAAGGGTCAAGTGTTTATGGGTAAGAATCAGGAAAGGCCAACAAGGCAGATATCATGGTGGGAGTCTGCTACAGACCACCTAACCAGGATGAAGAGGCTTATGAAGTATTCTATAAGCAACTGGCAGAAGTCTCACAATAGCTAGCCCTTGTTCTCGTGGGGGACTTCAACTTACCAATAAATATGGAAATACAATACGGTGGAGAGGAGACCTAGGAAGTTCCTGGAGTGTGTGTAAGAGAACTTCCTGACACAGCTGGTGTGTCAGCCAGCTAGGGAAGATGCCCCGCTGGACATGTTGTTTGTGAACAGAGGAGGACTTGTGGTTGATGTGATGGTTGGAGGCTGTCTTGGGCACAGTGATCATGAATTGACAGAGTTTTCAATTTGTGGACAAGTAAGGAGGAGGGTCGGCAGAACTTCTACCCGGGACTTCCAGAGGGCATAGCTATTGGGACTGCCAGTGTCCAAAAAGGCAATCAGTAACTAGCTGGCATGCAGAAACTCTATTCTTACCCCGTCAATGACCAGCAGTGGACTAAGTTACAAATTGTTCATGTTTCTCCACGGTCATGCAACAATGCAGGTCCTATCCTGGTGCCCTTGTGCAGCCCATATGCTGTAAAAAGGAGATCTAGATGTATCTCAATTTACACGATATTTCATAAAGCTCAAGGACAGAAAACCAAGGTGGCTTTCTCACTTCTTTGTTTTCATAACCCTTTCTTCTCCTGCAATACAGATAACTTACGTACATCTGTTTGGGGGAAAAACAATCAGATATAATAATTGATTAGGAAGTAGTCACATATCTTTCTACTGCATCATTGGATAAAAATTGTAAAATGTATACAGAAACCTCAGAAATATGAGCTGTTACTGATAGTTGTCATACTACTGCTTGCAACTCCTCATGAAATCCTGGGCACAAAACCACAGTTTAATAAATAGTTTTATTTTAAATCCGAGCAGTGCAAATTTAAAATATGAGCAATTTGTAGAAGCAGTGTTTTTTGACAGAGTGAGAACTTTGATTTATGGTGCTTTAATGCAAACTCAGCTTATGTTCTGAGTGTAAATGTATTGTTTGGGAAATTTTTGTGTTAAACATGCTGTGATCTATCCAATTACATCTTCTCCCACAAGAGATATACTAATCTAGACATTGATCCTGGAGTACAGAGTGGCTCACAGTCGCTGACAGGATAGCAATGCCATCTGCATTTTTTTTCCGCTAATATTAATAAAAAAGCATACCACAATACTCTCAAGCTACAGCCTTTGCAGAAGGGGATAAGAGGTTATGAGGAAAAAAGAAAATGAACGTAGCCATCCCTATAGTCCTGTCTGCCCTTCCTCCTACAGTAGAGACGTCGCGTTTTGTACAGCACTGAGTTGTGGGGAGACATTGGCTCCACAGTGGGACATGTGAAGGGCAGAGATAGACTTCTCTGTTGGACTGATTAGACTGAGGGTCTTTGTACACGTGACAGCATTGCGGGGACTTGATAGATTTGGTGTGGTTTGGGCAAAATGTACATGTAGAATGAGATACTATTACAGCTACATATCCAGCTAGCTAGTGGCTAGGAGGTAGGGATGTTTAAAATCTCTTTGGTGCCAGTTGCTTGATTAGAAATGAAAGGCTGCCCACAACTGGATTTTTGTGGAAACGTCTAGGACAAATGGAGACCATGAATTTTAATCTCTGTATTTTATTTTCTTGATACTTTTGTTACACAGGGCAGCTTTTATGTCCCATCTGAAAACTGCATGCAGCACGCATACAAATGGCATAAGGACCTCTGTCGTCTTCTCTTGAATGCTCAAAGAGGACTTCATATGTACTACACCCTCATCATGAAGGAGATTCCTGATTTACCACAGCTGAAGTTGGGTAAGTGAACAGACATTTAAAATCACTGAATATTGTACAGTGCTGCATTTTCAATACACATTTAAATACCAAAATTCTTGGGCTGCTCAGAGTTTTTGGAGGATTTTTATCCCTCTGTTCTGATTAGTGTTTATTTTGGCACACTGTTAAAGATGACCGCCTTCTCAGTTTATGTAAATCCTTTTACAGGAACTGAAGGTGGCCTGATGTGTAAATGGGCAAAATATTCTGATAAATTTCCCCACATACTTGCCTTTCAGTGATTTTTGATCTCAGTTGCTTTTTGAAGACTTGAACTTCCCGTTCTGAATTGCCACGAGATCTGGGCAAAACTAGCATTTTTTCTTCTCTTGAACAAACATTTTTTTAAAACTGAAAAGAAAAATCTGAAAGGTGATATGAGTGTTTATGAAACATACTCCCTCATTTGCAATTTGCAGTGTATTTCTTCCCTGCCAATTGCATAATTACAACTTGCTCTTTAAAATTATTCTGCTTTTCTTCCTAATTCAATTGTTTAATAGATTTTCTGGTTTTGGCAGAAGTTCTTTTTGGCTGGTCAGGCCTTTTTGGTCCAATGTGCAAGTGCTGGCTGGCTGGATTTGATGGAGCTCTGTAATTTGTGTTCAGTCATGTTTGTAACGACAGCATGAGCTCCTGTGAAAATGAGGCACATCCCTGACTAATTCTTGCTCTCCCACCTGTTTCTTTGAATTGAAGGAATGTGGCTTATGATTTCACATCTGTGTTTTTGTGTCTTTGTATTTCTCTATGCAGGTTTTGAAGGTATCCATTTTTTATGTTGCAGAAATAATTATATTAGGAGAGTTGATTGCATAGGCCAGCAGATTTAAAAAGGGAGCAAAAAGTATTTTCCTGTTTCACTGTATAGTGCTTGTATACAAGAACTATCAAACATAATACATTATGCCTTACAGACTCATGGGCTTGATAGCTCCTATTTTCCACTTCATGTCTTGTTCCCCAATATATATTTCCCTTCAAGATAACCTAAAACTCATAGGGTGGGAAGAGCACATATTGTGTTTTTCAATGCAGCCACGAGAAAGAAAAAAAAACAGTACAGCATTTTTATTTTCAACTTATGTTCTGTCTCTCAGACAGAATCCAACATGCAACAAAACTCATGCTTCAGGCATCTTGGTTATCAGGCACATTAGTAGATGATTTGTGTCTCACCTGGACAGGCTTATAGGTTGGGAGATGGCAGAGTTATGTATGGTTGGTTGACCACAACTCGAGAACGACCCCAGATACGCACATACTGGCTTTCTAAATACAATTTGCTTGGATTTCAAATGACTACTGGCACTGAAGCTGGCACTTAATTTGCAAACATACTTGTTGTAATGCATGCAAATTTCCTAAATGCAAATACTCTCTTTAGCCTCTTAAACAGAGTGCTATTTGCATCATTTTATTCACAGTCTGAAAATCTAGTGAAGATTTGGTTTTAAGGCTAATCTTCTGACACCTGTTGCAAAACTCAGCAAAATCACAGGGTGTGGGATTCACCCAGTATGTTGAATATGAAGCAAATTTTTATATCTCTCTCCTTGCAGTCACTGGGGAGAAACACACCCATTTAGGACAGTACAATATGTTATCTGAGAAGTAGTGCTTCCTACCTTGGGATGGCATGAACGGCACCTTGTATTTGCTCTTTTTTTTCCATTCACCATGAGAAGAATATAAATGACTCATTCAGTTGTAAACTTCTATACTGGTCAGATTAATCTTGTCATAGGTTTCTAAAGATAGTTAAGATAAAGCCAAGACTATAAATCTCTGCAGAATTTCTAGATTCTTTTTTCTAATTCCCTGAGTAGTGTATTAAAAAAAAAAATACTATCCTAGTTTAGGCATTAAAAGTGGGAATGATTGTTTCCCAAATTTTACCAGCTAAGGATGGGTTTTTTCAAGGCGTTACCCATCTCAGTCTGTCCTTTCTCATTCTTTAGTACTATTTTAAGAAGAGTCATTTGGGGACTGGGGAGGGGATTAGCCTCTTGGTTGTTCTGCTTTCTTTCTTTACAGATACTATTAGAAAGTTCCACATTGCAAAATCAAGCTGCCAAAGTTGGAGAGTTGATTTTTGTCCTCCTTAGCCTTATAGTCTGTGGCTGCATTTAAAATGGAGTGTCCCTGTGCCGGATTCTCTCAAGACCACATCAAAGCAATGCTGCTTGCTGTAGGGGTGGAAAGGTCCTTTACACTCCACAAGGCAGTACAGAGATGCCCAATCTTTTACTAGTCAGTTATTTCTGGTATCTCTTACACAGTCCTGTGTAGCGCAATAGGGAGAAACATTTCTTGCACATCATATCCTCAGACTTTGCCATGGTAACACTTTGCATTCAGCTCTGGAGTTGGCCATAAATACCAAAGGCTAATAAGCAAACTTCCAGTAAAAGAGAGGGTAGACAACAAAAAGCCAAATTCTGTTGTCTTTGTCCTGACAAGAACCTTCCAGCACTCCTACAGGTTTATTGGTCCAGGCTACACATGTAGAAGTTGTACCTGCACCTCTGCAAGTACAAGGTGGGTTGTGGAGTGCCCACCTCCAAACAGAGACTTGTCTGTTGGGGAAGATATCAAATGACCTATTTCTCACATGAATGAACAGAAAAGCATTAACATTTCACATCTACTGTTCTCAATCCTGATCTCTTTCTTTGTGTTTTTTCCCTAGAGGAACTATCTGTGGAAGAGACGTTATCACATCTTTGTATGGAGCTGCAGGTACTTTCTTCAACAGAATCTGCCCCTATTTTTTTCAAGTCCATTTTTCAAATGCACTGAGACAGTTCAGTCATGTATCAAAGCAGGAAGAAAGCGAATTTGGTGCCAGCAGAAAGTTTGTTGAATGTTTCTCTTCCACCAACAATTTCACATAATGTTGATTAGCCACAAGATGTTTCTGTCACTTTTATCAAGTCACCAGCTGGATTACAGAATCACAGAATCACAGAATCACTAAGGTTGGAAAGGACCTTCAAGATCAGCAAGTCCAACCATTAATCCAGCACCACCATGTTCCCTAAACCATGTCCTGAAGCGCCACATCCACACGTTTTTTGAACACTTCCAGAGATGGCGACTCCACCACCTCCCTGGGCAGCCTGTTCCAATGCCTGACCACCCTCTCAGTGGAGAAATTTTTCCCAATATCCAATCTAAACCTCCCCTGGTGCAACTTGAGGCCATTTCCTCTTGTCCTATCACTAGTTAGATTACTTTAACATCCTTCAGCAAGCCTAGCCCTGAGTATCAGAGTATGCAGAAAAGAATGATTTGGGGGTAGGTTGCAATTACAGCTTTTATGCTGAAGGAGAAAAGATCCTTTGGCAGGTTGCACAACCATTTTTTTTCAAATAAAAAAGCCTAAATGCGTAAGGAAGCTCATGGGAGGAAAAAAAACTGGTTTTGGCACAGAAGCGACTGAACTATTCTCTTGAACTTGCTTCTGCCATGTTTATTTCAAGTGAGACACAGACAAGTCATCAAGGGTGCCAGGAAAAAATGCACATGTCAGCTGATCACTGGGGAAAATGCTTTATAATCAGATTTAATAGATCTGATTTGCTCTGTTCATTAGCAGGAAGGACAGAATAAAGAAGAATGACAAAATAACAATTAATGGAGAGAAGGTGAAACCAAACAAAACTGAAAGTACATTCGCACTCCCGTTACAAATGGTGGGCTAATGTTTGTCAGCCCTGGGTGAAAAATGTTTGAAATAACAAATTTCTTAATTTTAAGTTATGTGTTGGATACTTTGCAAGAAATCTGATTTCATATAAATTTGATTTAGAGAAACATAAGTTATTGGGCTCACGTCTACTAGATTTTGAAGCTGTCAGGGTATAGGAGGTCAGACAACACAATCTAGAGTCTCCTTTGGACTTATTTTCTATGAGTCTCAGTCTATATTAGTTTGGCAAACATCCGAAAATGCCAGCATTAATTTCTCTGTATTTTCTATTTCCTGTTCACTTCATGTTCTCACATAAAGCTTATTGACTTGTTTTGCATGGCAATATTAATAAAGCCAGACTGCTTTCAGTGCTGTTTGAAAGCTGCAGGGAACACATAATAACAGGTGAACACAACAGCTGGAACAGCTGGTTCTCTGGGGTGTTATAAAAACTTTGGTTTTCCTTTACACCATGAAAAGGTTTTGCCTTGGTGGCTCGGGATGATAGCTTTCTATCCATCTATGCACAATCTGATGATAAAGACAGTGAATTTGCAAAGACTCTCAAGATATAAGTGTTGAGATCTTGTACAATATTGGTGGGACATAGGCGCAGCGTTGACCGTCCCTGCAGTGTAAGTGCTGAAGTCATGTATATCTCTGTATGGTGTACAGATTAGTATTTGCAATGCTCTCTCAGTATTTTGCCTCTAGGATTATGTGAACTGAAACAATTTCTTTCCAGCAGAACATGCAAAACTCAGACATTTATAAAGGAAGAAAATGCTTTTACAACCGTACAGAGAGAAGCCTGTGGGGTTAGTCTCCCACTACCACTGTGTTACCAGATCCAGGTCCATCTTTAAAATTAAATAAAAACAAAAGAAGAAAAAAACTGAGTTTAACTTGCCATAGCTTTGTACTCAACCCAAGAACACAGCAGATACTCAATGTAAGAGAAAGTGGCAGGGAAATTTTTTTTTAAATCGTATGATTGATTTGTAAACAAACAAGCAAAAATAACTCCTAAAAACCCCTGTCGATTTGGGCTTGAAAGGTGCAGTCCCAGGGACCAGCCCAGCAGCAGGTATGTGAAAGGAGTAGCAAGAATCACATTTGGTGATCGTTGTAATTGCTGGGTTTTGCTCTGAGGAACTGAATCCCTGGGACTGTCAGTGCAATAAGACACTCATAAGTAGAAGCAGGCATTGTCCCTTCCTTCCTTCCTTCCTTCCTTCCTTCCTTCCTTCCTTCCTTCCTTCCTTCCTTCCTTCCTTCCTTCCTTCCTTCCTTCCTTCCTTCCTTCCTTCCTTCCTTCCGTCTAATATATTCAAAAGGTTAAGAACCAATAAACTAGAGAAACAGCCATCATACAACTATTCCTAGTAGGGCCTGCGTTAATAATGAATCTTCTCTGAAGATTGTGCTTTCAGTTTATGGCGTAAGAGGCAGCTGACTGACTAAAAGAAAAAATAACAAATTACATACAGCATGTAAAATTGAGTGCTGTTAAATAAAGCAGTGCCCTGACTCTGCAAAGAGAAATGTTTGGGCAGAATCTGTTGTCTACCAGCACCTCCCTGATTTTTCCAGTAACAAAACGGGTACTGGAGCTTGTGCTGTTTTGGACTAGTTGTTAAAACAGAATGGCACCCAAACAATGTGAGCTCAGTGACAATATCTGTGTTAGCCACACAGGCGTTTTCTCTGTTTCTCTGTCTCACACAGACAATTCACTTTTAATCATGATTTGTTTGCAGTGTCACCAATATGGAAACTACCTGCATAACAAAATGTGACAAACGAGCAAGCTTTCAGCTAGACTGCAGTCCTAGCCAAAAAAAAAAAAAAAAAGGCCAAGAAGTGATAAGAGATTCCTCTAGTATTGTTTCTGGACTATTTCTGGTAGTATTACTTGTTTCATGGAAGGGGAGGGACCCTAGGAATAGACGAAGGCTCAGTTCTGTACTCTCTGTGCCAAAACATGGAGGTAAAATGCAATGTCTGGCTCTTGTTAAAGCAATTGTGGAACCAGGGGGTTGGGTCCGCAGGGGCTTTGCTGCTGACATGCGCTTCCTGGGCCGCAGGGCTTTAGCGCAGAATTGCAGCCTAGAGCCGGGGGGCACGGAGGGCCCCAGCATGTTCTGGTGTGGGAGAGAAGCAACAGCAGACTCTGGGATGTCTGTTTGCGTCATGTGTTGAGGACACAGTGTTTTGGTTTTATTGTTCATTCACTGCCCCCCTGCCAATCACCCATCTGGTACCCTAGTGTGACATGGCTGAGAAGGCTTCTTTCGCTGTTAGAAAGCAGATGACGGACCACGGTTTACTATTTCAGAGCATCCAGCACCATCTGGTGGTTAATTTGGAACCATGTTGACTTTTTTCCCCAGTAAAGTGTCTGCAAAAATTGAGGCTGTTCCCACGTCTTGCTCTCCAATTGTAGCTGCGACCCTTTGCGCTAAAATATGTGGATTTTAAAGAGTAAAAGCAAAAGTCTCAACAGCTTTATTTGGGGTAAAATAACTGAAAATAGTAGCTTTAATAATAATTCTAAATCAAGAGGAATTTTTTGGGGTTGTTGTTCTTAGAAGAACTTAATCTAACATTCTAACTGATTTTCCCACTGTCTTGATCTCAAAATGTCCTTTCTCTCCTCCAGCTGCTGAGCAATCCGGAGAAGATAGCAGAACAGATAAGCAAGGACCTCTCCTGGCTTTGCTCCCACCTCCTGGCCCTGTGGACCCAGTTCCTGGAGGTGGCAACTCTCCATCCAGAAGTCACAGCTTATCTGACTCAGGAACATCACATGTTAAGGGTAACGTCAAGTAGTTAAAAGCAAGTTCAGTAATGGTAGACTCCTGATAGATGTTAATGATTTATCTGGATACGGATTTCCAATACTATACTGCCCATATGAGTATTTACTGGAGATGGGGTGAGCAGGACAAGAGGTGAACAGGAGGTGAAGCAGAGGATTTGAAATTACAGATTTCAATTTCTGGAATGAAGGCTGTTGCTTTTCTGGGACCCAGGATCCTGTGCAAAATGAGTGCACCTTGAACATCAGAATCTCACATGGAACAGGAGGTGAATGGGAAGAGGTCGATATCGCCTGTACTTGCTGGATATCCATAAATCATAAACATTTGTTTTAGAAAGCACAAGCATCACAATGACAAATAACCAAAAAGATTATTTTCTCTAAACTTCTTTCACAAAACTACCATGAGGAATATATATTTGTTTTCTTCACTATGTCACATATATGTATATAGGGCTAGTTCTTACCTTTCTCCTAGTGAGGTGCACAGAACAAAATATTAATGTTGTTCATGTGGATATTGCTTCTTGTACTTGGTAATAAAGAAGGCACAAAAGCACTTGTCTTTTGAGCTAACTTTGTCAGATCTGCTTATCTGCTTAGTTCAGCAAGTGCTGTGTCTTCCTTTAGGACAGTTTTGGTTATTGACTGGACATCAGTTCAGCACATCACCTGAGCTGAACTCATAGTCTGATCTAATCATTAGAGAAAAGGGTAGGATTCACCTTGCTTAGCTTTAGGCATCTACAGTGTAGCTATTGACATTTCAGCTCATGTTCTCGTTCCTGTCAAAGTCAGCTGAGGTCCACTTACTCTCCAGAGCAACAAGAACAACTCTCTGGTTGCTCTCCCCAAGAGCACGGTTGAGCTGGCAAAAAGGAGGCATAAAATTCAGGAAGAGGTGACTAAGTGACCGACGCTGACACTCCCCTGGTTATTTTGACTGGGTCTCACTTGGACTCTAAGAGGACCTGTGTGGCTTTCAGCCAGAGGAACCAACTCTGTAGGCTCCCAGCTCCAGCATGGTGAATCCCAGCCTGTGGTTCCAGCCTCAACTGATGCTGACTGCCTGCTTTGGCAGGCGAATTGCACACATTTGTGTTCTTCAGTTCCTCCCCATATCAGCTGTGTGTAATGATACTTTCCCAGATCTGGAAAAAAATCTGAGTGCCCTAGATGAAAAGTCATACTATTAAGATAAAATGGTTTTGAAGGGATGCTAGTCCTTTTTTTAGAAAGTTGTTGAAGCACAGCTGGGTTTTAGGGAGGTGCCGAGATGCTAGGACATATGCTTTTCGCTGCCATTTTCTGACACTGTAACAGAGGTCACTTTTACAAATATTATTAGTAATGTATGGGCTGCAGATTAACAGCTTAGTACATTTGATTGCATATTATGCTTGATTCATTGAAACTCAAAGCTTATTCCAGGGCAGATAGCAGCACTGAATTTTGTACAGCTTATTTCACACTCTCTGCTCTGCCAGTCGCTTCAGATCTCTGGCTCTTTTGTAATTGATTATCCAACACTGAACAGATCTAATGTCCATGAAGAGATTTGAAGAGCTCTCCTTTGTAAGTATCATGACATAGGCAGATGGGTTTCTACTATGATAGGGCTTACTCTCCTCTGGGCTGATACAGATGACTGACTTTGCTCTCTTGGGAGTCACTGTGGAAGTTTGCATAGAAGAGATGATCAATTATGAATTGTTCTAATTTAGTAACTCACTCTGCTGCTGTATGATTTGCATGTTGGGAAAGGAAGAGATCTTCCCCTTTTTAAGATTTCGGGACAAAATGGTAAATTTGACAGCTTTTAGAAAAGTAGTCAGAAGATGCACATATGCAATTATTGATTTACTGTCAAGGGACACTTCTTAACTCCCAGCAAAATAAGCAGCACCACCAGCTGCTTTGTGCTGGACTGGAAAAGTAGAGCAGAATTGAGTCTTTGTTTCTTTAAGTTACCGGAGTGGTGCGAAGCAGACGGAGCACACTGAGGAATCCGGTCCTGACAGTCACTGCCCTTCCATTAGCTTGGTGGTATTTGGCACCTTTCAGCAGATCTTAGGTTTAACCTCTGTGTTTCTCCCTCAGGTGAGGAGATTCTCAGAAGCCTTCTTCTACACCGAACACCAGAAACTTGCTGTGCTCACATTCCAGGAAGGCCTGTAAGTAACCCATTGACCCTCCCCTATCACTGGAATGACTGAAAATGCAGTTTAGAACATTTTACAATCAAGACTGAGGTCTTTTTATGCTGGATGTGGAGCAGTTTGGTTTGAGAGAAGTCAGTGGGTCCGTTCTAGCTCCATATTCTAAACCCACTGAAATCAGTGTCAAAAGTGAGAGGCGCCAATCAGGCTCCAGAGATTATTAATTTCAAGATTCATATATTCTAGGGATATGGTGCAGGAGATCCTCTCCCCGCCACCTCTCTTCTCAGCTGCATTTCTCTTCAGAATGTATCTCCACCAACACAATCATCCTCAGGGCAGGCAGAAATATTTTTTGATGTCTTTAATTAACTTCCTGAACATACTATACCAGACCCAGTACTGCCACTTTTAATGAGAAATAACTGCTGACAAGCAGCAAAAGCTTAGCATTTAAAAATTTGCTTTTTACCATCACTAATATAAATTTTTGGGGGTAGGCAGTCACGGATTTCTTTTGGTGTTTAGTCCAGCCCTACTTCCTATAGCAGAAAGGATCTTTAAATGCAGACAGAAGCATTAAATGGCCAATGCAAAGCTGGGGATGTTCACTCGATGCAGTAGTGGAGGACAGGAATGGGGAATACCACCATGTTAGCTGGAGGAACCATTGGAGTGATGTGAGCTCAGGGTTGATAATTAATTGACGGAGAATCAACAGTGCAAAATATTCCGTGAAAACAAATGTTGCACTGGCCTGCATTCATAAAAATACTCTGTAAAACATTGCCAAGGTAAGTACTTCCTTCTGCTTGACAGTTCTTGCTTGGAGCCAAGCTGCACAGTATGAGGAGCCAGTTTTAAAGCTTCATCAGGACAAATCCTGCCTTCAGTTTTAGCCAATGATCCCAAGTGGAACACATGGATATAAGGAAGAAATTTTTTATGATGGAACAGGTTGCCCAGCGAGGTGGTAGGTGCCCCATCCCTGGAAACATTCAAGGATGCAACCTGACCTAGTTGGAGATGTCCCTGCTCATTGAAGGGGGGTTGGACTCGATGACTTTTAGAAGTCCCTTCCAACCCAAACTATTCTATGACTCTACAGTTATATGATAATACTCAGGACATGACCCCTGAAGGCAGAGTTCAAAGACAGATACTCAGATCTGAATTTCTGAGTAATGAGAGATGTCCAGACTATTTGTGCACTGAAACAGCCTGTCACCATGGGGGACCACAGCATTACCAGCATGGAAATCCATCTTTCAGACGAAGCTTAAAGGTCATGACATCAGGTCCTGTCATGATGAGGCTTAAGTGAGACATTTGCTTCTGACCTAGTGCAAAGAAGACAATTACTTTCTCAGACTTGTCACTAGGGACATTAGGGCTGATTCAGCATTGGTGGAAAGGGCCATGACTTCATTAGTGGTTGTACAAGGCTACCTTGTTCTGCCAAATTAGAGCAGCACCATGGCTGCAGGGGCCCAGCTGTGCTTACTTAGTCCTCCCATGTCAGGTTTTAAGTGAGCTATGTACAAGGAAATCCCCATGTCAAGATCCTGGGGTGAGGGCACAGACACTCATGGCCCTGTTCAAGCAAATATAACCTTACACAGGGGGAAGCCTAATTGCATGAAGTGCTTTTATTTCTCCAGGCAGCCACAGAACTAACACACTTCCCACAGATAAACATATTTTTTCCTCCATAATTACCAAGGAAACTAAGTAAAAGAAAGTAAAATAATTTACAAATTTTAAAAGTTGATCTAGGTAGTAAATTTGGCCTGTACAGGCTTCATGGCAGAGTCATGTTTTCTTTTTGATTGTGCTGGGTGATGCAGTTGGAAAAGGGGACTCAATGTATTATTGAGTCCTGGAGTATTATTAATGTTGGGAGTGGAAGTCAGGAGTATTAACTGGGTTCACAGAGGCTCCAAGTGATATCAGCTCTCAGCGTGCCAGGTGCTGTACAATCACCTCAAACAGTAACAGTTTTTTCCCCCAATTCTTTCTTCCTTGTTACCAGACAAGAGCTTTTTTTTTTCCTCCTGTAGTGCTGTTGTGAGTTTTGTGTGAGGCCATGCACCTACATGCCTGGCAACGTTTGATGTCTTAGACGGAAGAGTACACACCGTTTGCAACAGGTTGGGTATCACACAGGGTGGTACCCTCTAGCAAGTGACATATCCTCCCAATATTTTACAGAAAAAATATTTTTTCTCACATTTTTCAATATCAATGATTCATGTTTTATGCTAGAGATTGGTCTTGAAGCAAGTTTAGTTTATTATCTTTACATGTGGTCTTTAGTAAAATGCTGATGCTACTAATTAATATGTCAGTGAGAACTTTATCATGGTGCTAAGAGGTAACTTTAAACACCAAGGTGTTGCTGCAGGCAAGAATGAGCAGTTAGCTGTTTGTGTCTCCTCTCTGAGTCATGTTTTAGCAACCAATGACTTATTTATCTTTGAGGAAAAAATAACTGGCCTACAAGGAAAAGCAAATGGTAGACAGCAACAATTATGTTCTGAAGTTGAAGCTGATATGCTGGTCAAAACAAGTTATTCGTGTCTGGTTATAGCAATCTTCCATGCTGGCATAAGGACAGACCAATTGAATTACAAACCTGTTTGAGTTTTGCTTCATAATATATAAAGTGTGTTTTTTCCACATGATAACTGCCACATGATGATTACCTGCTTTTTGCCAATGATAATCTGAAATATTGCCATTGTGCTGTCCTGTGGGATCTGTGCAGAATTGCCTTCAGCTGACAGTCTAGGAAAAGCCTGTTGCCTTCCTCTTCAATCCTTGGGATAAACAGACTAATTAATCCAAGAGTCAACACAAATAAACAAACTTTGTATTTGATGTTTTCCCCATGTTTTGAGGAAGATGCTTATGTAGGAAAGCTCATCAGAACTAAAAACTATTGTATTTATTATAGCTGAATCCACATCCGTGTGCCGGTTTAAAGTCACACTCACTGATAAAAGCCAGGTAGCACTTTATATAGACCAAAAGATGGAAACAGTTATTCTAGTTTTATCAACAGGCAGCGACTGAATTGATGTGTCTTAGCTCTTTAGCTCTTCCAGGTGCATAGGTATGTGAGGTATCGCAGTGCTCTGAGGATTGCTGTAAGTGCGATCGAGGGCCTGCCGTGAATCCTTCCTGGCCTTGGTTCCTCCTGTGCTGCTCAGCTACATTTCTGATTATTGCCTGGGAGGACAGCAATGCGTTATGGTAGCTGACGGGAGCCGGGGGCAGGGGCGGCTGGAACAATCTCAGGAAGACAGAGGTTTTGGAGGGAGAGATTGCACAAGTTGTTGGTATCTCTAATGGAGAGATAGAAATCGACTCACTGGAGACCTCCCAGGAGCGCTGGGTACGCCGCCATCATGCAGTGCTGCCTCCTCTCCTTTTAAGCACGTTGCCTCTGTCTTCTGCCTACGCATCCAGCTTTGCTGCTGGGCTTGCAGAAGTGATGGAGAAACAGCACGGTAACTACTCGAACACTCAATTTCTTTTGTACTTTGCTGCCAGGATCCAAAGCCATGGACAGATTTCTACAGAAATTCGTAATTCGGAGTACTTCACCAGCATGCCCCCGCTTCCAGCAGAATGCCTCGACATAGATGGGGACTGGAACACGCTCCCAGTTATCTTTGAAGATAGGTACATGGATACGCCTTGCAAAGGTGAGAGAAACACCACAAGGTACAGCTTCATGAGACAGCTTGAGCTGAGGGAGGTTCACTTCCCCAGCCCAAGGTAAGCAATCTCACATTCCGTGGGCTGACTCCGGCATGGATCAGAGTGGATCCACTATGTAATATAGTTGAATTCTTCTGTGTTTCCCTAGTAGCAAACTAGAGCATTTCCTGTACCTTCATATTTTTCATCTTCAAAGTAAGCTAAAGTAGTTACAAGAGCTGGAGGCAAAATCTAGAAAGAACACAAAACCTTTTGGGTTTTTGTTACGGTACAAATTTAAAGGAAAATCACCGCTGTGAACGTCATCCCCAGTGTGACATCTAGTGGTAAGAAAACGCAGAACAAAAAAGCCACAATTTCAGCATAAAGCCCGACACCGTCCCTGAAAGGCAGCATTGCTTTCCAAAAAAATATTTTCCTCTTGAACACACAAATCAAATTTTCAATTAAGAAATTATTTAGCTCTGTAGATTTGTACTAAAACCTCATAGCCCTTGGTTCCCTTTTCTTTTTACCCAACTATTAAGATTAGCAAGCAAGCGATATGTACTAATATTGTACTTGACCATAGTGTAGTAAATATGACCTGTGGTCCAAAATTTCCACTCTTCCAGAGTTATCCAACTACCTAAATTTTGACAATGCTCATTACAGATATTTAAACTATTAAACTGAGTATTAAATTGACTTACAAGCAGGAGTTATGCTATGAAAAATGTCATATGACAGCAGGAA